GCGGTACCTAGGTACTGACTAGGTATTACACATTTACACACAAAACCACCCAACTTTGAGGAGCTATATCTCGTCAACGGATTAACGAAAAATGAAAATTTGAAAGTGATAATTCATAAAAAAAAATAGCCTTTTTAGTTAAAGAAGAAAATGATAACGGTTTAAAAAAATCAATTGCAAATGCTATCAATAGAAACACTTCATCTCTTCGTAAACGTATTACAAGTATGAACAATATTGATTTATGTAATGTGTCAGAAATGAATAGTAAAATAATAAAATATATTGAAGACTTTAACTATACGTCTAGTAATTTCTTAAATTAATATCACATAATTCTGAATGACATATGTAAACACATTAAAGTCACTGTAGATCAAGGTAACCGTATTAAAGTGTATAGACAATGTAAAAAACACTTTGACATGTCTTTGTGTAATCGGATGACACAGACATCATGAATTCAAATAGTGTTTATTTTAATGAAAATTCTAGTATTGAAAATTACACTTCATATTCTGATCACACAGAGCCTGAAGTAGTGCATAAAGACCACGTTTCACTTGAATACACAAGTGTATCGCCCCAAAGTGATTGCAGTTGGATGATAGGAAATCCACTCATACCTTGTAGTACTCCAATTCTAACAGAAAGCATAAGGGTTGAATCTGATTTTGTTACACCGAGTAAATTGGAATGCAGAAAAAGTGCTGGACCTGTGCCAAGTCCCCTTAAAAATGCCTATTTTAAGAAAACTCCAGTCAAGTCTGGTGTTGTGCTGCCTTTGAAAACAATAAATTGTTTTCCAAAACAATACGATAGCTCTGAATGTGATTCTTTTGAAGGAACTTTTACATTTTCACGTGTAGAGTGGTCTCATATGTTATACACACATATTAACGGTGAAAAACGTTTGGAAAAGACTAAATATCCTATTATGTTCAGAAAGCTCATAAGAACTGTGAATAATACATGCGTTGTTAATGCAAAAAGGGTTAGATATTTTGAAAATCATTGCAATGTGTACATGTATTGTACCCATGAGGGGTGTAAGCTTTTTAGAATTAAAGTCCAGCTTCGAGACCAAGAGTTTCTGGCTGAAGTCTATAGTTCTGGTTTAAATCACCATTACAATCCAGAGGACAATGGTCTCACGAACCACGTAAAAGGGATTCAGCGAGACTTACACAAAGAAGCGCTAAAAAAGACTAAAGCGTTTTCCTTCAGGTCGGACGCTGTTGACATGGCATCACCCACTCAGTTGAATTGTGGTAACTTGCAAGGCATTAAATCAGATGACGTCGTCAGAAAAATCAGATCAGAGGCCATAATTGCCGATGATTATGATAAAGATGATTTTCATGACCTTGTATTGATGTGTAATGACAAAGAAAACAACTTTGTAAAGCATGTCGGCATACCGTCCGTTCACTGTTATAGTAACGAGCAGTTGGACATACTAAAAAATCTGATTAAAAAACAAAAACCAGTAACTGGGTATTTGGATGCAACTGGTACAGTGGTCAGGAAAATTGACAAGAACAGCAAAAGGGTTCTGTACTATGTTCTAGTTGTTAATGTCCCATTCCTAGAGACTCAAGTGTCACGTGTCCTGTTGTTGAAATTATTAGTTCAGCCCACGACATTATTGCGATTTCACAATGGATGAACGCTTTTAAAGCATTCGTTTTGAAACACAAACTGACTTGGCCAGTATTCACAAATATCGTGACAGATTTCAGTTATGCCCAAATGAATGCCTTGTGTATAGGATGGAATGGTTTTACTTCCATATTCGACTACCTTAACTGGTGTTACAGAGTATTGGTTGAAAACCAAGACGAATCTAATGTCACCATCATAAATATATGTGCAAATCATTACACAAAAATTATAGTAAACCATGTGTACACATATTTTAAATCTGAGAAAAACCATCGTATGACAGTAGAAAAAACGAATAGAAATGATGTCATTGATTGGATATGTATACTTTTTAACACAACCAGTTTGACAGATGTTGTACAATGGTTCAAAATATTTTCAGTAATACTGTTATCACCTCATGGTACCTCATGGTACCTCATGGTACCTCATGGTACCTCATGGTACACCTCATGGTCCTAGGACACACGAAAAATGCCATTAGTACAATGAGAGCCAAGTGTTCTGATAAATACCAATTGCCAAATGAATCGAACAACGAAGGTGAGGATCACTCGGAGGAAATAAATAAATTTCTATGCGAATCCAACACGAGTAATTCCATGATGTTGTGTAGATTTCAGTCAATCAAAGAACAGGTTAAATCTGAAGTCTCAAATTGTGCTGAAAATATTGAAAATTTAAGCATTAATGAATATTATGATGAATCATATTTAAACGAGTTTATAGTTAAGTGTGTACCCTTCTTAGCACTGTGGACATCTATTATGAATAATAAACTCAGCAATGGCATTGAAATCCGCCAGAGTAATGCTACCATTGAAAACTTATGAGACAGCGTGTGACGAATGTACACAAACAAATGAAGTACAATATTAGAAAAGGAAAATGCACTCGTGCGCTTGATTTTGACACTAAGTCTAAACAGAGTACTACTATAGAAAATGGAAAAAGAAAAATTTCAGAATTGTCTAGCCTTAACCATTTAGACGAAACAGAGAGTTGGGGAAAAAAATAAAAACAACACAAACACCTCCAACCCATCAAGTACCGTCCTTTCAAAGCACTGTCGTTAAAAATCCCAAAGTCTTCGACCATTACAGCAGATAAAAATAACATTGTGGTTATAGAATGTGACAATGAGACTGGGTTCACTGTTGATGAGCCTATGAACAACGACATGGTTGTACATGAATTGAGTAAGCCATTGGACGATTGTTTAACAAAATCAGTTTCGACACCAGGCAGTCATAAATCTCCGTTTCGACTATCAGCGCTAGCTATGGATTTACACAAAAATATGCTCCCCAAAGATTTGGTGTACTATAAACCAATTAAGATGCCAAATAATAAAGATTATATAGTTGTAAAATATCGTAACTTATTATCTAATGTTGACAATTCTAAGTCTAACGTCAAGACCGACCTGGATTTCCCAGAATTTGATTCATTGTCTGGAACAAAGTGGGTGCGTAACTTTGTTATAGATATTTGTTTGCTATCATACGCTAAAAATCTAAACTTAGAAAACACACACATTTTATCATGCAATACTGTGAGTATGTTGTTATTAAAAGAGTAGTTGGGGAAGTGCATGACAAAATTACTTTCAATCAGAACAGTATGGTTATACTTCCATGGAATATTGGTCGTACTCACTGGATTGTAGTCTTTATAAATTTCAACACCAGACAGTGTTATATCATGGACCCGTTTAAGCCATATGATATAAGCCAACGAATATCAAAAGATGGTTTCAATCAAGTAATTAAAATATTGAAATCGGATGTCATCTACGGTGACGGCACACATCAATGTCCACCCTTAACACTGATTCCATGCCCTTTTGAAAATGTTCCAAAACAAATAGACGCATACAATTGTGGAGTATGTATTATATATTACGCATTTAAATTTATGGACAATTCCAAGTTCAGTTTAGAGTTTGATCCTAAAGCTTATAGAGAATATTTAAAGACCTATCTATTAGAGAATTCCGAAGACATGACAAACGTATGTTTATACTGTGGCTGGAACTCAGACAGGCACCGTTGTCGACTAAATGATGAATGTGTAGAATGGGTGTCGTGTTCTCGGTGTTGTCGCTGGATAGCCATTAATTGCATCCCTGAAGAAGACAGAATTGTTAATTACGCAATTGATGATTTCTTCTGTTTATTGTGTTAGAAATGATGAAATTAAAATATATAGAAATCATTAGACTAGAGTTAAAGCACGCTACAAATTCCATATCAAAATAGTAATTAAATTACTTAAGTTACTTTATTTATGAACATAACTTCAAAATGTTGTGCTTTACTTAATTAGTAATCGTTAATAAGAAATGTCTGATGTGTGTGTTGGTGTAAAATAAAAACACTTAAAAAATTATGAAATATTCAAACAATATCTATAAAAAGAAGTTATCTGTATGTTATAATGTATTTAAAACAATAGGTAACGCACCTATCTAATAAGATTATTATCACAGATTTTAGATAACTTTATAAGATAATGCTTGAAATCCTAAGAAAATGTCCTACACAACACATAGGTACCAAGTGTAGTATTATAATATGTAAAAAGAAAATTACACGGTTTTTTCAAAATGCTATTAAGATTGTTTCTAGGAATTAATGGAAAAAATATATATACAGAGTAAATTAAGAAATAACCACAAAAATATACCAGATTTAATTAATATTATTAGCTTTATCAAACTAGTCTTGTTACAGTAACTTGTAAAATAAGTTAATCCCAACACTCATTTACATAGGTAGGCAAATCACTAGACATAATTTTAAAACACAATACATTTGTAACCACACCAGTCATGCTTTTGTTTTATTTATTCATGCATAACTGACAGTCTGATATTTCAAGTGTGATGGCAATAAGTGTTTCGATTTGTTTGATTTATATTTAATGTTTAAAAATATACTCACTAGACGTTTCAACAACGATCAGTCCAACATAAAAGGTACAATCAATATGGTAATAATAAATGTTGACTTCTCCAAAATACATTTTTGATGAAGTTACATTTCTGAAATAAAAATTTGATTAGAATAATTTGTGGAAATTTGTTAAATAGATAATCCTAATCAGTATTTAAAAAGATAAATTTTGTCACCCCATGTAATGAAACGCTATTGGTTGGTAATTATTTTCATTTATTTATTTTGAACCAATATGCTCATCATCTTATTTTGTTACAAAATATATGTTTTTATAACATTATTTTCTTTTATATCAGTTTTAATTATACTCCGGAGAGTTTACAATAAAAATAGTTTAATAGGGGTTTACATATAAGGGGGGACAAGGTGGTTAACATGAAACTCACGGTTTTTTCTGTTTGTGATATCTACGTGGTGGGATATCCTGACAACAGCGTGCGGATAGATATCAGGCGGCGCGGCTCAGGGCGACGGCTTGACGTAACTATCTTCCGGTTACTGGCGGCGGACTCGGACTCTGCGACGTCTCACGGCAAAATAACGGGTGACTATACAGTGGTGTTGGAATACTCGAACAGGCGGTGGACTCGGACTGGCGACGTCTCACGGCACGAGCAGAACACAGACTGGACAGCAATACAGTACACGGTGGCTCGACTCTGGATGGCGGCTGCTCGACGTGGCGATGATGGAAATGCCGGTTCAGACTGTAAACACATCCGTGTATAACGAGTGGTGTGCTCGTCCGGCTTGTGTTAGTCTGGGGCAAAATGCTGTTGGGCGTACAGTAAATAGTGTCCGTGTATGACGAGTGGTATGCTCGTCCGGCTCACTGAGATACTGTAGTACTGTACTCAGCGGGGAGTTTGGTGTTGTGACAGCGTTTTCTGGGTAGTATATATGCTACTTGGGTCCTCTTCGTGGTGGTTAAAACAGGCAAAGCACTTTTACTGATTCAGTGTCTTTCCTCATAACTTAAAACCAATGTAAAATACGTACAGTATTCTTTAGGTTCTACTGATTTTTATGGTGCTTTCGAAAGGGTTATGTTACGGGGTTTTGTCTGAAAAGGAGCTTTCCTTTGCGGGCGGCATACCGGTGATATCGGAGTTGCGGTATGCACGCGTTCTGACGGACGTCGGGAACGGCTGTTGCGGTGTTCCGCGCGTAATTACTGCGCGAGAGCGCGTCGCAGTAGTAATATATAATTGATGACGACTGGTAACGAGAGTGCGCTACGGTCTTAGAGCGTTCGAGTTTGTCTCGTTACACCCAGGTATCCGGGTATTAACACCTAAAGTTATAGTTTTTCCCCATCGGTATAATATAGATTTAATTGATTCGTATTCAAATTTAATTAAAGCACTAAGTACATATTGCTGCATATCATGGTGAGAATGAAATGGCGAAAGTTACTTTTTTTTTCCAAAAGTATTACTAGACCTTAATTATTAAGAAGTACAAAACATAAATACCTAGGTTATAAAAATACTTGATATAAATAATCGATAATGACAAATGTCTGGCAATTAAGAAAGACTCTAGGACGTACACATGTTTAATTACGAAAACTCAAGATACTATTTAAATAATAACTATGACAACTACTTAGGTCTTAAGTGTTTAGATACTATTTCATAAGTTTTTTAATTATCTCTTGCAGGCTACATTAATGTTCCCAGAGAACAGATCATCATGATATTATATTGAAAAATATCACTGTTGTGTCAAAATGCAATTATAAAATTGTGGATAAACTTACATTTATATAATATATACTATATAATTTTACACAATGTCAATACAACACTAATCAAACAAAATAAATCAAAAGATTTTAAACTAGCACATAATATTTCCATAGAGGATACCTACTGCTCAAATCAATGATGTACTGTTAGCTGATATTCATTTTCAAAAGCCATAATGCTGTGTGGAAACAATAATATAAATGCTTATAACTGAAATGAAATAAAATTAATACACATTAGCTATTATAATATCTATACTTACTAATTTAAACTGTATATGATTCAGACACAATAGGTTTATTTAATGCCTGATTCGTGTTGATGAATACCAATCAGAAGTTTGATCAGAATTACCTCAAGATGTTGGTTACAAATAGCAGTTGTTATGTATATTTACTTTGTTTATTATTCATGTGTTGTTCAGGCCCAGGATGTAGACTAAAATATAAAATAACTTTTATAAAAATATAGTTAAAAGTGTAGATACTGTTGTGTTGAAATATACAATTAATATGTAGTATATGTAGTCAGCCTTGACACGTGTGTACAATATAGTAACTAGTTATGTACGAGCATAAGACTCACTCTCTTTACGGATGTAACATGACCTCGGTCGTGCATATATATAGGGCCTTTGATGTATGTAATATTCACTTGCACAGACGCTGTCATACCGAGTGTACGCGGTGTTTGTGTATAGTCACAGTTTAATTGTCCAGTTGTACGTTATTATATATTATACTTATACATAATCATATTGTCGTGTTATTACTTATTATATTAATGCTAACATCATTAGTCCGTCAAGCTTCACTTTCAACAGGTTATGGGCCCAGTCAATAACCAAGACAAACAGTCTAGTGGATTCGTGATCGAAGTATTTTTATATTTGTATTAACGCAGAAAACTACAACCAGTCGGAGATATCCTGGATTTCGGAAAACGGCGGAACAGTGTACATAGGTAAAGTTTTGTTATAAATTGTTATACAGGAAAGTATACGGGAATCCATCGGTCATGGAAGACACGGTGAAGATAACAAAATTATGTGCGGAAAACTGGTCGTTATGGAAGTTCCAGATGAAGGTCATTTTAAATGCCTTGGAAGTAGGTGAGATAGTTTCAGGCGAATGGACGAAACCAAGTCTACCTATAAAAAAGTCGGCAGGAGAGACCGACGAGGAAGCCAAAGCACGTTGGCAAAGGCATACAAACGCTTGGCAAAAAGCGGACGGTAAATGTCAGAAAATAATAGTTACCTCAGTGGACGATGGTCCATTACAATATTTGATTAACTGTGAGACTGCATTGGAAATGTGGGAGAAACTGCTGAGTATTTACGAGCAGAAGTCTGAAGCAAGTATACATTTGCTTCAACAACAATTTTTCAGTTATTCAAAGGAGTCGACAGATGACATGTCGACGCATATTTCTAAATTGGTCAATTTAGGAAGGAAACTGAGAGTAGCGGGTGAACCAGTTACGGATAACATGGTTATGACAAAAATACTAATGACATTAAAAAAATAATATAATCATTTTTACAGTGCTTGGGATTCAGTCCCAACGGGAAGTAAAAATATAAATAATTTGACTAGTCGATTGTTGAATGAAGAATCACGGGTTATCCAGATCAAAGGTGAAGTTGGTGAACAAGAGAAATCGAGTGCATTTCCGGCCAAATTTCAAAACAGATCTGATGGAAGAAACGGCAGTCGTAATTATGGAAAAGGTAAAAATCAATTTACTAATAAGAGTAATATTAAGTGTTATTACTGTGGTAAACTAGGTCATTATAAAAGAGACTGTAGAAATTTTCTACAAAGTGTACACGGTGGTAAAACCGGTACTATAGGTACGAACTTGAACGCATTCGTAAGCGAGTCAAGAATAAATAATATTGCAACAGATGCGTGGGTACTAGACTCGGGCGCGTCGGATCATATGAGCGCAAATCGAGAGTGGTTTTCAAGTTATGAACCACTGGACAACACGCAACAAATCACGATAGGTGATGGGACGAATCTGTATGCAGCAGGTAGAGGTAATATTAATATATTATCATACGTAAACGGTAATTGGAATAAAAATTACATGGCAAACGTGTTGCACGTGCCAGGACTAAAATTTAATTTATTTTCGTGCGGAGCCGCGATGGATAAAGGTTTAGTATTGACGTCAGATAGTAAGACGTGTATGTTAACTAAACAGGGGAAACCCGTATGCTCAGGTAAGAGATGCGGAAGGTTGTTTGAGTTAAACATCAAGGTCGAAGTACCGACAAACGGGTACGCGACGGTAGCTGTCGAAAACAGGTTGTCTGTTTGGCACGAGCGCATGGCACATCAGAATTTACAGTACGCAAAAAGTTGTTTGGCGAAACACGAAATAGTATGTTCGGCCAAGGACGACGAATTCATGTGCAGCAGTTGTATAATAGGTAAACAAAGTCGTAAATCATTTAGTAAAAGTAATACGGAGTATCACAATGTCGGTGATTTAATCCATGCAGACCTATGTGGACCAATGGAGGTAAGCTCTATAGGCGGTTCAAAATACTTTTTGTTATTCAAAGACGACTACTCGCATTATAGAACGGTATATTTTATTAAAAATAAATATGATGTTAAAAATATTTTTGAGACGTTCATAAAAAGTGTTGAAACAGAAACAGGTTCTAAGGTCAAAATATTACGAACGGATAATGGATTAGAATTCGTAAATAAAGAAATTACGGGTATTTTACAAAAACACGGGATTCGACATCAGTTAACAGTTCCCTACACACCACAGCAAAATGGAAAAGTGGAACGGGAAAATCGTACAATAGTAGAGTCAGCGAGGACAATGATTTGTGCGAAAAATTTGGATGTATCACTTTGGGCGGAGGCGGTAAACACGGCTGTCTACACGCTTAATCGAACAGGAACCAGTTCAGTTAAAAATAACTCACCATACGAGTTATATTATAAGGTAATGCCAGACATTAAACACTTACGAGTTTTTGGTACTGTCGTATATACACACATACCAAAGCAAAAACGTAAAAAGTGGGACCCTAAAAGTGAAAAAGGAATATTTGTTGGCTATTCGGATAACACGAAAGGTTATCGTGTGTATTATTCGAAAACAAATAGAATTTCAATGTCTAGAGATATTATATTCGAAAACGAAGGTAATAAATTGGAAAATATAATTGCAGACAAATTAGAATTCACAGATACTCAGACTCAAGTCGAGGGCGATCCGGTCAAGGTCGAATTGACGACGGTCGACAACAGGAGTGGCATGGTGCTACGTGATCGGAATACATTAAAAGCGCTGATCAGGTATAATGTGTCGTCGTTCGTCGCCAATCTCGTTGAACCACTAAATCGTGATGAAGCGATAGCTGGCCCACAGAAAAACGAGTGGGAGCACGCTATGAGTGATGAAATTAAATCACTACACATAAACAACACTTGGTCACTAGTTAATTTGCCTCAGGGCAAGGTTGCGTTACGTAACGCATGGGTGTTCAAAACCAAATATAAAAGTGACGGTAATATCGATAAATTTAAGGCCAGATTGGTCATTAAAGGTTGTTCACAGAAATACGGTATAGATTACCATGAAACATTTTCGCCAGTGGTCAGATACGAATCAATTAGGGCGATATTCGCAGTAGCAGCTGTGGAAAAATTAATACTACGACAATTCGACATCAAGACAGCATTTCTGTACGGAGGACTACAGGAAGAAATTTACATGGTACAACCACCAGGATACGAAGATGGATCGAATAAAGCCAAGGAACTTTCAATACCAATAGACAAATCACATACACTTGAACAAAAAGAAGATACCGAAATATTGAATGAAGATATTCCTTATAGGCAGGCAGTAGGTAGCTTACTGTTCTTATCACAGGTAACAAGACCAGATATAGCATATGCAGTAAACTTTGCTAGTCGTTACTTAGCAAAACCAACTAAAGCT